TCCAGTAGGCTGCAGAGCTGCTCACAGAGCTGGAAGCACAGGCAGCTCAAGAGTGTACCTAAAAAAAGCTTCAAATACTATTGGGAGGCTTTTTTGTTTATTTTTAAATCACCTGCTTGCATCCAACTGTTCTACGCTGAAGCTGCTCCTGGATCTTTCCCTGCAAGAGCCACCGTAGCTTGACAGGACCTAAGCCTAGAGCCAAACCACACCAAGGACGAGGCTGGGAAAGGCAGGAGCGTTTGCCAAGCCAACAGAAGACCCTGTCCCCCTGGCATCTCTCCTGCAAAGCAAGCCACAAGCTACTGAGCAGCCTCGTGACCATGCTCTAGGAATTACCTCAGGGGGAAGAGCCACAGAAAGAGAACCAACAACCCTCAAGTGGCTCGAGAACGGGCAGCCAGCCAGTCAAGCTTTCTCTCTCTCTTGAGGGCTGCAGGGGTGGGAAGGGGACGTACGAAACATCCCCCAATGCTGAGTAAATATTTTACTTCTCAGATTCATGCTGGTTACCTAATCAATCCCCATCATTATTTTAGGGGCCCTACTCAGACACTAGAATTGATTCCTGATCTAAACAAAGTAAAGCCTTTCCAAGCATCTCCATCAGATCCTGACTCCTGGTCAGCTCCTTTCGTGCTGGAAAAGCTAGAGGCCCTGAGCATGTGGTGGGCTGGACACATAACCTGCCCCACAACCAAGACTGTGCTGAAAAAAGGCAAGGAGGAGGCAAGTTCCCACCATTGTTAACATCAACAGGAGCAACAAGAATTGTCTGAAAGAATTTCCTACTGCAAACAAGGTGCTGAGGTGAATAAAGGAAACTAAGAGGTCACAAACTGGAATACAGTCCTCTGTGCACCACCCAGGTCTGCGTCCCTGGTGCAGACAGCTGAGCCAAGCCAGGCCCAAGATGCCCCACTCAGCAGCTGAAAGCAGGCAAGGAAGCCAAAACCTGTGCCCCGGCCACCTCAGCAGCCCCAGCACTGCCACCCAAGCCCACAACACATTCACTGTGACCAGATACTCAGCTAGTGAGAGCACAGAAACACTCACAGAGACAAGGGGGTACCCCCTTTTTTTGTGCTCATCTCTTGCTATACCTTCCTGTCTCCCTCTTCTTCCTCCCCTCCATGGAAACCAGCAGTCTCTCATTATCAAGTATTTTTAAAACAGATGGGAGAGTGCACTACACTGTTTTAATCTCTCAGATAACATTTTCCATGGTTCCCATGTCAAATCTGCATTGCAGCTTCACTTTCCCTCGATTTCTGTTTGCCTTGGAGCAGGGTGTACATCACTGTAAACATGAGTCCTGTAACAGACCAAGTTCTGATTCTGTAAACATTTGGGATAAACACATAAAGAGAAGGGTAGGTAGGCCAGAGCCCTCTTCCATGCTCTGATCTACTAAGAACCCATCCCACACTGGTCAAGATGCCAGGAAGTAACCCAGCAGGAAGAAAGGGGTCCCATATCTAGCACACCTCAACCGTTTCCAGACTGCAAGTGGCTTGTCTCACACTGAGCCCAGATGACCATGTGCATCCTGCCAGCCTGGTGCATGTTTAAGCACATGCAAGGCTTTCATCAGCTGAGAGCTCCCAGGGCAGCTCCCAGCACCAATCCTGCCAAAGCTTTGCTTATGCATGCCTTTACATTTACATACCCAGAGCAGGCTCCATTAAGGCAAATGAAATTACAGGCAGCACATTACACATGTGCCCTCACATCTGTGGGATCAGGGCCTAAAAATGAAAGCCGCCCATCCTACCAAAACACGCCCTGCTCGGCTACAATTAAACACAGACACTTCAGAGCAGTTTGCTGAAGTTATTCTTCATGCATGCTTTTACAATTAACATAATGTCATATCCTGCCAGGACGTAAAAGGTTGTGACTCAGGAATGTTATCATCGTTTTAAGTCAAACTGACTCGCTTTTGGTTTCATTCCTTTCCTTTCCCCCTTCCTTTAATTCTCCCTCCAACCAGACGCATACCACTCAAGGCTCCACTTAATCACATTCGGTAAGAAAGTCGCAAAGCAAATCTTCACCAGCCTTGCCTTGCTCTAACATATAATTAACTATTTCTTCCAACTCCCTGCCACCCTCCCAGCAACGCAACGGCAGCATGCAAAGTGGGAGCAGAGAGGATTAGATAAGAGGTACACAAGACAAAACGCCCCCAACGCCTCCCCAGTGTCAGTCCACTGTCCTTTCTTCTCTTATCACCCCAAGATAAAACAACTCTTCTTCAAAAAGCACCGACACGGGAGGGTGAAGGGTCTGCCCACCAGCTGCTTGCAAGGAAGCCGAGTGCCCTCGTCCTTCCCTCTCCCACACGCACATGTTTCTCATGCTGAAGGATGCTTTATCCTGCAGTCAGCCCCACTGCACTGGACTCAGCAGCACACGCACACAGGGATTTGGTTTAACTAGTGCAAAACCCTCTGTGGATGCTGCTTTGGGATTGCTCATGGACTTGGGTTAACTAGAAACACGAGAGGCTGAGTGACAGCACGAGTTTAACATAATGACAAAAAAATAAAGCAAAGCTCATACTCAGGAACAAACAGCAATCACGTCTTGCAATAAGCCACGTTCCTCAGCCTATTAATGCTGTGAGGTTGCTGCTCCACACAAAGCGAAAAGGCTTGGCAATACCCTTCAGCCTGCCCTAAAAACCAGCTGAAGCCACAATTCCAATGCATCTTCTTACACTGAGATACAAACTTCAATTTCCAAGCATGCTTCAGACCTTAAGATCAAGGAATCATTTCAGAAGAAGCTTTACAAATAGCTGATATAATTTATAGGTATTCTTAACAAACATCAGCTTTTATTTTGCTTAGCAGCATAACTTCCCCACCTCCAGTAACACCATTAAACCCCATCTCCATACATTTGCTTTGCCACATCAGAGGAACATTACAGCCCCGCAGATCCACAAGCACATAATAAACGCCAAAAGAAACTGTCTCATTCTGGTCACATCTTGAACGCAGACCATTCTCTCATTATGAGAAGGAGCCACATTCAAGTCCTCGGCTCATGGGCAACATCTGGGTTACTCGCAAGCACTGAAAAAGTTGCTGGGAAGTCGGTCAAGTCTCTCCCTCCCGCGGCCGACGATGCACAAAAGTGCATTCAGTCTGGTCACGGCGGAGTTTCATTCACGTTTCTTCAAGCTGGATGCAAGAGAGACTCGCTTTTTTTTTTTTCGGGAGCGGGATCTACTAGTTTTTGTGGATTTAGGCTTTTTTTCTTTCTCTCTGTAAAGGGGAAATCTTTTGTCTTTCTCAATATGCACGTAAAAAAAAAAGACTCTCGGCCACCACATCCCGAGAAAAACGGTCACGCTGGAAAACGCAAGACACGCGTGCCTCTCGGAAGACTTCCACTCCGCGACCGCCGTGCCTCTCCCGCCGCAGCCCAGCGCCTCTCCCCAAGGGATGCAGGCACCTCCCGCCCGCCCGGCTGCCCATCCCGCACGGGGCACTGCCCTGCCCGCTCCCAGCTCTTCCCATCCACGGGAAGCGGCGGGGCAGAAACACCCGCGGCACAGCCCCACCACACAGCTCAGCCCCGGCGGGCGCACCCCCGCCGCCTCCCCGCTGCCCGCGCGGCTCGGAGCGCGGGGCTCCGGGACGAGCTGCCCGCCGCCGGCCCGGCCCCGCCGCAGTCACGAGCCGCGGGCCCAAAACGGAGACAAAAAGTTTTGCGCGGGCCCCTCCGGCCCCGGGAAGGGGCAAAGGCGGCGTCGCCCCGGCGAGCCCCCGGCGCCCCCCGGCACCGCGCCCCCGCAACCAGCCGCGGGCACCGCACCCCCGCAACCCCCGGCTCCGCACCGCCGGCAGCGCGCCCCCGCAGCCCCCGGCCCCGCCCGGCCCGCCCCCAGCCCCGCGCTGCCCCCGCGCACCGCCGGTCTGCCCACGGCCACGGCCATCGCGGTGCGGTGCTGAGCGCTGCGCCCTGCGCTGCCGGCCCGCCGCTCTGCGCCGCCTGCTAGCGCTGCAACATGGCCACCCGGCGGGGAGGGCCCATGCGCAATGCAAAGGGGCCGGGCGGCGAGGCGGGACCCCCCCGGCCCTCCCGCGGGCACAACGGGCAGCGCGGGCGGCCGGCCGGCGCCGCCCCGCCGCTCGGGGAGCCCCGAGAGCCGGCTGCGGCCCCGCGGGGCTGCGCTCCATCCCCGGCCGTGACTGCGCTAATCCCTCTCCCGCCCGCGCCCCCCGAGCCGGGCCGCTGGTACCGTCCCCGTCGCCCCAGAAGGTCACTCTCTCCCACCCTGGCAGCCCCGCAGTTTAAAGCACAGACCCCTCTGCTCCAGGGACCCTCCATGGCCAAGCAACCGACCGACAAGGTTCTGCTACCACCGGTTCGGTGAAGAAGGAGGCTGGGGATTCGGCAACGAGATACTCGTAACAGAGAGGCACACAGGAGCCCCTGACTCCCTTGTATAACAACACGGAGGGCAAAACCTGACACCTCGCTCCTCTCGCTTCTCCGAGCTCTCCTGTCAAACACACACACTGTTTTTCAACCAACTGGGCATACCAAACAACAGCCATGGTGGCCAGTCGCTCTCCCACTCCACAAGTGATTTCCAGGGACGAAGTGAAGCCCAGCTGGCTCCTTGCCGCTCCAACTGACAAAACACTTAACATCCCGGTGCGAAGCATTACATCTCTTTACCTGCAAAGGTGGGAGTCTTAGGGCTAAACTTAACATGTCTGCTTGCAAATCTTCAACCAAGGTAGTGATGAAGCCCCGCAGTGCTTTGTGAAGCATAAAACCGCAAAAGGCTACGGAAGACAGAGACCCAATTTGCTGCACACATGAAGGATACATCGAATCCCAGACATCAGAGCTACCCCCATATGTGAACATCCACCGAACCGAACCAAAAAAGCCAGCAGGATAAAAGCTGAGAGCACCTCCTACAAGCAAACAACCCCGGGTAGTGGTAAGCAAATAGACCTCAGCAATGCACTTACCATTGTAGGCTCTTTGATATCAAGCTCATACCTTTTCCCTCCAAACCCCATTTTTGTGGGGCTATGAAGAAGCACGTGGCTGTTTGCCGAGGGCTACAGAGTTTCTCCTTCCTGCGGCTTTTTTTGATCACGTTTGGGAGAACTCGGGAGCTGATCTTTCAGCGTGGTCACCCCCAGCCCGAGGCAGAAACAATGGAAGTGCACGAACACTACCCGGCCCAGCCGCCCATCAGGGGCTGAGGATCTGCACCTGGGCAGTGCCCTTAACTCGGCACAGCTTCAGCCATCACTGGCACAGCTGCTACACCAACGGACCCTGAGGGGGTTCTACCCGGAACATTCTGGAAGCAGAGCTGATGCAGTGCTTTTATGACACACACATCTTAGGTGTTCATGCTAATATCCGAGCGAGGCTTCGATATTAGACTCATCATTGCTCTTGTAGCAAACTCCTCCCGCACACACGGCTCCGGGTGAGGAGGTGCTGAGCGTGCCCGCTCTGGGAAATGCGCTCGGACCAGTGCAGCCTCTAGTGGAAACACCTGACGATCGTATCTCCTGAGTTGTCCTCATTGCACCCGTGGGTGAGGCAGACACTGCTTCCCCTGGTCTGAATTAGAGGCACGCATGATACTCCTGCATCAGCACAACTTAACCAACACGAAAATCTTCTCCGCTCGCAAACCCTCGATGTGACTCACCATGTCCTTCCTTGGCCCGGAGTATTGTGGTCGAGTTGCCTCCACAATACTCAGGCATACACACTTCCCTGGGTACGGCTGTTCATGCTGAAAGAGCAGGGGAGGAAAAAAAAAACATCAACACCAAGAAATGTTCTGCAATGTTCCCAGATCTCAGCTAGTGTAGTTCCTTGCATTCCTAGTGTTCGCTGGGAAGAAGCAGACCCCTAGCTCCTGAAAGTTTCATAACTGCTGCTAACAAATCGTTTCCCAAGAAAAGGGAATTGCCAGTTCCTCATCCTACAGACCTCATAGGAGTTGTTTCCATGTTTCCAAAGTTGTTTGACATCATTTTGTAGACACGGCAGGTCAACGTTTAATGCCCTTTTGTGTCAGTTGCGGGGCAATTTGTCAGTTAAAGGGGATGAGAAGATACACAAGCAGACACAGAAGTTTGGTAACTTACCTCCTGTTTATAAACAAACACGGGTACATAGCTCACTAAAGGCAACATCTTATCACACAACAACAGGAAGCTACAAGACTAAGTGGTGGGTTTATTCTTGATTCTTTCATGGTGAAGTAATGCTTGGTCCTGCCTCCGTTTTGTGATTCTGACTACTATGAGCTCACTCAAATTTCACTCAAAGAATCAAGAGACCTGCTGTTGAGACGGGGGTAAAAACCCCAGCTGAAACCAGGACAATGTGATATCATGGAAAGCCTCCAGCTTATGCTTCAGTTCATTAAGCCAAAGCAACACTTCCATAGTTGCCATGTGCCACTGTTGTTTACTTGGATTTTTTATCTTCACAACCTACCCTCCTTTCTTATTTGTGATCACAACTACACCATTATGCTCTATTCATTTCATCTCAGACGCCTCCACTGAGAGTGTGCTGCTAACAAACAGTTTTGACTGCAATCCAGGGCTCATCAGAAGAGGAGGGAGAAACATATTTATGCCTGGAAGAACTGCACCAAAAGCACGTACAAAATGATAAAATATGAACATAAGCCTTTACCCTCTTCCCAGCACCTGTGCCCTACCCAGATGAACACCGCTGATGGGATGTAGCTTGCACACATCACCTATTGCAATCTCTGCCCGTGGTTTGTGAGGGTTTGCAGCAGGCTGGAGGATATTCCAGCTGCTTACATGACAAGCAGCTAAAAATATTTATGGATAGCTGGGAGCCTGCAGCAGAGATGGTTTCTGGAGCGTGACTTAGGGCCTGATCCAGACCTCTTTAAAGCCAGTGAGCCTACACTGAGCTCAGTCCCTCCATGCCTCTGTTCCCTGATCATAAGGCAGAAAATCCAGCACACCTTCTCTCCTACACTTTCCACCCACTATCCACTCCCCAGACTCCTGGGGCAAGGGCTATCAGTTGTTTGGTGCACACAGGGCACGTTGCCCACTGAGGCTCTGACCTTCCCCATCCCTCTCAGCTGTTACAGACACATTTGTGATAGCAGAATTAGCAATAAAGAACAACGTGAGATCCCCACACTAGTACAACGTGTGTCCAGCCTATCTCAGCCACACAGCGGATACAGAGATGAGATGAGATATGATTTGACTGCAGGCACTCTTGGTATTTGTATGTGGTTGTCGTACATGGGTACTGCGCTGGGCAGGGCACGTCTCCAGGATGAAGGACCACCGCCTCCCTAAGATCCTGCTTTATGGTGAACTTGCCTCCGGCTGCCGCAAGAGAGGAGCTCCGAAGAAAAGATACAAGGACTCCCTGAAGCAACAACTCAGCCTTGGGCATATTGATCACCATAACTGGTCTACTCTGGCCTCTAACCGGGAGGCCTGGAGACAGTCCATTTATAACGCCGCTGATGCTTTTGAGAAAGCACGCAGGATCACTCTTGAGGAGAAAAGACAACGCAGAAAGAATCGAGCCTTGCAGAATATACCATCTAAGGAGTCTTTCTGCTGTGTCTTTTGCAACCGGACTTGCCTTTCTCGTATTGGCCTTTTTAGCCACCAACGCGCTTGCAAGAATAGTGGGTAGAGCCCTTCCCAAATCTTCGTTCGCGAAGCCTAGCCATGACATGGGTACAATCCCACACACTTGTAATGTCAGCTCACTCGAACCACATCATGTTCATGACTCTTTACTGCCAGTTTTCCTAAGTAGCTGAATCACAGGGCAATTCAGGTTGGAAGGTACCGCTGGACACAGTCTGGTGCAGCCCCTTCTCAGGTGCCCTCTCTGGGCAAACTGTTCCAGTACTTTACCACTCTCACTATAAAATACTTTTTCCTCACACACAAACGGAATTTCTTGCATTTCAGTTTGTGTCTATATCTCCTGTCCGTTCACTGACATAATGACTGATAAACCACTCTTTCTCCACACCACCTGCCAGTAAATGACCCCCGCACTTCTCAGCTCCTCCAGCCCCCGTATCCTGCTTTCCCCCTTCGCTGTCACCCCAGCTCGCCGCCCCACGGGCCACCACCCCGGGCAAAGGCGACCGGGCGGTGGCGGCCCGGCTGCGGAGGAGGAGGAGGAGGAGGCGGAGAGGCCCGGCGCGGCAGGAGGCGGGTTTCCCCGCCGCACCTGGATTCAGCGCGAGCACCGAGGCACAGCACGGAGCACCGAGAGCCGGCCGGTCTGGAGCATGGCGCGGGAGCTGAGCCAGGAGGCTGTGCTGGACTTTCTCTGGGCAGCCGGGGGGCGAGCCCCCAACTCGGCGCTGCTCCGCCACTTCCAGCGCTTCCTCCGCGACCCGGCGCTGACGGAGCAGCAGCGGCGGGAGCGCCGCGAGTACTTCAAGAGCCTTGTCAACTCCCTGGCCACCGTCCACCCCGCCGCCGCCCCCGGCGCCTCCAAGGACATCGTCCTCCGCCGCAGGTACCGCGACCTCCTCGATGAGGAGCTGCCGCCGCCGGAGGAACAGCGGGAGGAGGCAAAGAAGGAGCCGGAGCCGCCGCCGCCCCGACGCGACCCCGACGGGCGGCGCGGCCCCCGCGGGGAGGCGGCGGAGCAAGGGCAGCCCTGCGGGGGACAGCCTCCGAGGAGTGCCGCCGTGTCGGGGGGCTGCTCCG